TCCTCCCTCCCCCTCCCCCCCTCTCTCTCTCTCTCTCTCTCCCTCATCTCTCCCTTCCTCTCTCACCTTGTTTGACCACACAGATGCCCAGCGGTACATGACCCTTCAATTTGTCCGGTACACCAATGACCGCTGTGTCCACAATCTCACTGCTCTCAAGGACAGCCTGTCGGACAGACAAATGCATTATTTTAGTTAAGTTTCAATTTCTAGTTTCAGTAATAGTTTTAAGGCACTTACAACATAAATAAATCGTGTTAGTGCCAGAGATAAAAGGAATAACTAGAGAGTAATATATAAAGAAAAGAAGGATGAGAGATAAGGATGATAAATATTTTTTTAGGTTTAGTAGACGTTTTACGGCGCTCGAAACTGCATAAGGTCATATGAGTGCCAGAAGATTAGAGGTGTTACCAGAAAGTAACAAACATAAAAAAGAAGAAGGGGAGATAAAGACGATAGATGTTTGATAGGAAAGAAGAAGCAAACCACACCAGAGCACCCGCCAACCATCCACAGTAAGAGTTTTTAGGCACTTGCAGCATAAATATGAGGTGTAAGTGCCATAGATAAAAGGAGTAACTAGAGAGTAACATATAAAGAAAAGAAGGAGGAGAGATAAGGATGATAAATATTTGACAGGAAAGAAGGGGCAAACCACACCACGGCACCCATCAATCATTTACGAATCTCAGTTTGCAAATTTTTCACAAAACAAGAACATGGCAGACCAAATTACTCAAAATAAACAGTTTGTCATTAGCACACACCACATACATATTTTTAAAACGATGTCAAGGAACAAAACCCTTCTAGTAACTTAGGAAAAAAGTATATTTAGTTTATTTTCAGTAAAACCTTTACGGTATATGCAACACAAATAGATCCTATTATACGTGTCAAAGATTAAAAGAGTTAATAAAAAGTAACATATATATAGAAAAGAAGGAGAAGAGAAAAGGGTGCAAAGCACACCAGAGCACCCGCCGACCACCCACTGACATATACTGACCTCCTCCAGGGAGCCGCATGAGAGCCGATGTCCAGCCACGTTGATGACATCATCACTGCGGGACAGCACGGCGATGTAGCCCTTCTCGTTACGCACACCAGCATCCATTGTGTCGTAGTAACCCTAGGAACACGCCAAAAAAGACAGAAAAGAAATGTGAGGCATCTTGGTGAAATCAAGGGCTCGTCAAGATAATGAAATCCGAGCAATCAGCATTTTTCAGCCAGTTTAGAAATTTTTTTTTTTCGAATTTTTTTTTCGTTTCAACACCTTATATGTCCATTCAAAAACACTTTTATATTTGGATTTTAGGGGAAAACGTTGATTACAAGAACAAAAAAAGTAAATTTGCAGTTTCAAAGGACTCTTTAGCTATGGAAGTCACCAAACTTTGGCTGCCATTTTCATGCTAATTTTAATTCTGAAACCAGGCGACCCTACTTCCTTCAATAGCAAATATCTCGACTTCTATTCAAGGTAAATGGATATTTTTTTGCATCGAAAGCAAGGCAAATGAAACCAGGCTACCCCACCTTCTTCAATTGCAAATATCTTGACTTCGATTCAAGCTAGATGGACATTTTTTCCACTGAGAGCAAGGCAAACGAATAAGCGTTTAGGTAATACCAATAACTCCACATGCCCAAAAATTGATGAACGCCTGATTCCACCACATCGTGACACCCACATCGTGACACATATGGTCACGATGAT